AACCTTGATGTATTAGTCAATACTGAGTCATGGCTATCTGGGGATAATAACAGGGACGGTCACACTTTGGCCGATATGAAGTTATGCTTGCCTAATTATGATTTTACTCACCGACCCCGTAAGTCTTCTAGGGGTGGTGGCATTTTTGTACTTTATAGATCCACAGCTCGTTGTACTGTAAATTCCAATGATGATTTTTCTTCCTTTGAATTACTTGATTTAATAATCAACCTTACCCCATCCTCTGCTGCTAGATTGTACTGTATTTATCGTCCTCCCTCCACAAGTAACACTGTCTCTAACAGCACCTTTCGGGAGGATTTTTTTAACTCTTCTTGAAGGTGCTGCTGTAACCGATCACTTCTCTCTACTCTTAGGTGATTTGAACGTACATGTTGACGATCCCAATGATAATTTTGCAAAATCCTTCATGGGCGGAGTTGATTCTCTTGGGTTTAAGCAGCATGTCCATGAACCTACGCATTGAGCAGGCCATACCCTTGACCTATTATTCACCAGAGATTCAGACGACATCGACCATGTGAAGCTGTTGTCTTCACTCCCTTCCGATCATTGTGCACTAGTTGCTACAGTTAGCCTCACCAGGCCCCAGAACCCGAAGAAGGAAGTGAGCTTCAGAAAATTTCGAAGCATCAATATGGACTCTCTACGCAACGACATTAAACTGATCTTCCATCCACTTTCTGAACCTGTATGTCCCTCTAGATCTGCAGATCAATACAACTCCTTTTGGAGTTCTTTGATTGATAGGCATGCTCCTCTTCAAGTCAAAACCGTCACAATTAGATCTAAAGCGCCTTGGTTTACCGAAGACGTGCGGCAGGCAAAGAGACGAAGGCGCCGGGCGGAACGCTGTATGATCAAGTCAGGGCTTTGTGTTGACAGGGAACTGTATCGTCGAGAATGCGATTCTTACTACGAATGCATCTACAATGCTAGGTCAACGTATCTCAAGAATCTTATTGCAGATGCTGACACCAAACAACTGTTCAGCATTGTAAAGTCACTCTCATCACCAAATCAATCATCAATTATTCCGGATCACTCATCTGACAGTGAACTTGCCAACAGGTTTGCTAGGTTCTTCAGCGAGAAGGTATCCAATTTGGTATCTTCCTTCACTGACTCAGTTCCGGTGCCAGCAGTCACATATTGCGCTCCGTCGTCTGATCATGAACTTTCCCAATTATGTCTTGTATCTGATTCGGAAGTCAGGAAGCTCATCAAATCACTACCATCTAAACACTGTAAATTAGATCCAATTCCCACGTGGCTCTCGAAGGACACCCTTGACGAACTCCTCCCTGTTATCACCAAGATGTTTAATCTCTCCTTGTCTTCTGGTCATGTCCCGGAATCATTTAAAACATCCCTACTCCTTCCTCTTCTCAAGAAGCCGAACCTTGATCCAAATGGACTGAACAACTACAGGCCCATTGCAAATCTACCTTTCCTAGATAAGGTCTTGGAGAGCATTGTGGCTGCTCAGCTGAAGGCCCCCCTCGAGAGATTTGGCATGCTTCCTGTTCATCAATCTGCTTACAGGAACCACCATTCAACAGAAACTGCTACGGTTAAAGTCCTGAACGATCTTCTCCTGGTCATAGACAAGGGTAATGAAGTCGTGCTCATCCTCCTGGATTATACGGCTGCATTTGACACCATCGACCATACCCTGTTACTTCATCGCCTGGAAAATGACTTTTTCATCACCGGAACTGTGCTTGATTGGATACGCTCATACCTCCTCAATCGCAGTCAACGTGTGATCATCAATGACACGCCTTCTGCAACATTTCCACTGATCTGCGGCGTTCCTCAAGGTTCCGTAATCGGCCCACTTCTCTTCGTTCTTTACACCAGCCTACTGTCTAAGGTCATTAACTCTCACCAGGGGATTCAACATGCGATGTACGCTGACGACACTCAGATTATATAACTCTTAAGCCTAACGGGAAGGATGATGCGACTCGGAAACTCAGCAGTTGCCTTGAAGACATTAGGTTCTGGTCTTCTAACAATAGACTTTGCCTTAATGAACGAAAATCTGAAATGATCCACATTACTTCCAAATTCAGAAACACCGATTCCTTCCCCGACTTGGTTACCGGAGATGGCTCACTGAAGGGCAGTGAATACGTTCGAGACCTGGGTGTTTTAATCAACAAAAATCTTACATTTCAACAGCACATTAAAAACGTATGTAAATCGGCATCTTTTGGAATCTTCAAAATTGGGAAAATTAGGAAACTACTTGACCGGCCCACAACTGCAAAATTAACCCATGCATTTGTATCCTCCCACCTTGATTATTGTAATTCAATTTTTTCTGGTCTTTCACAATCGTCCCTACTTCCACTTCAAAGAATTCAGAATACTGCTGCAAGGCTTGTTGCTCTCTCAAGAAAGTTTGAGCACATAACCCCAATATTGCGTTCTCTTCATTGGCTTCCCATACACCATCGTATAACATTTAAAGTTCTTCTTCTTACATACAAAATTCTCCATGGCCAAGCCCCTAAATATCTTTCAGATTTGATTTCCTTACGTTCTTCTAGTTCTTTAAGACCTCTTCGATCATCATCAACCTTGCAGTTAACCCTCAGACCTCGTACCGTTACAAAATATGGCGATCGAGCTTTCTCAGTAAATGCCCCTAACCTTTGGAACAAATTACCAGCGCACTTTCATAATATTCATTCTCTCGACCAATTCAAGTCCTTGCTGAAAACGCACCTTTTTAATTCATAAATAATATTCTGCAGTTGTGATGCACACCGTCTTATTTTTTGTTTGTTCGATCCTATGTTTGATCCTATGTTTGACCTCTCGTATGTATGTTTGATCTCACTCTTATCTTATTTTTTTATTATTGTATATGCATGACTTATTGAATAAAGAACAGATGTATAAGTTGTGTGTTTATTATAAGTTTTGGTAAATAATTGTTAAGTCAGAATATGGTGCGCTTAGAGACACCAGTATTAAGCGCCTTATAAATATTGTTTATTATTATTATTTTTATGCAATATATAATAGGGAGTTTGACCTTCATGTGCAGGGCCATCGCCCCCGGCCGAGCGTTTATGCGGAGACTGATATATTTAACTCGAGGGGTACAGCGTCCTTTTCACATGATTAGATTAGGAAAGGGGGCTAAGGCAGACTTGGCGGTTTGGCAGGTGTTCTTCACTCATTTCAATGGTAGAGTCATGATAGGCGGTGAGGCATGGCACAATTATAGTTCACAGCTCCAGTTTTTTTACTGATGCGGCGGCCAGCTGTGGGTTTGGAATCTATTTCGGTGGGAGATGGGCCCAATCGAAATGACCTGTACAGTTTAATGCAGCTGGTCGGTCGATTGCTTTTCTCGAGCTGTTCCCTATTGTGGTAAGCCTTCAGTTGTGGGGCGAGTCCTTTCGCAACAGGCGTGTGTTGATTTGGTCTGATAATACGACAGTGGTGTCGGTGATTAATAGTCAGTCTGCGTGCTGTAGTGAGTTAATGAAGTTAGTTCGTGAGTTAGTCGTTATTTGTTTGCTTAGGAACATTGGGTGGTATTCTCGAAAGCGGCCTAAGTTAAACCTGGCCTAACTTAGTCCGTGGTTTAGTTAGGCCAGGCTTAACTTAGGCCGCTGACCTAAGTCATTTTCATTTCTCGAAAGGTGGCCTAACTGATCCATGGTTTAAACCTGGCCTAACTTAGTCCATGGATCATTCACCATGGTTACAGTTTCTGCACATGCTCAGTACCGAAGCTGCGACGTCACAATGCACTAAGACAATGGATGCGCGCAGTGTGGAGAGGATGCATCACCTCGACAACTTGAGCAATATGACGTCACAATGCACTAAGACAATGGGCTAAGACAATGGATGCGCGCTGAGTGTGGAGAGGATGCATCACCTCGACAACTTGAGCAATATGACGTCACAATGCACTAAGACAATGGGCTAAGACAATGGATGCGCGCTGAGTGTGGAGAGGATGCATCACCTCGACAACTTGAGCAATATGACGTCCTGGGACGGCAGAGCGACTTCCAAAGCGGGGGGCAGCACCAACAAAAAGGGCACTTGCTGGAATTGTATCATTGTTAAAAGGGAAATTATCAGAGATGAAAAGGGTCACATATCGCACCTGAAAAGGGGCATTGAACATATTTTAAAAGGGGCACTTATGAGAATGAAAAAGAGGCACTTATAATAAAGGAAATGTGCATTTGTTGAAATAAAAGGGGCACCGATAATTTTGTTAATAGGGGCACCTCTCACATTTAAATAGGGCAATAATCAGAGGTGAAGGGGTACTTCCCGAAAGTGAAAAGGGGCACTTATTGCAAAGGAAAATGAAAACTTGTCAAAGGAAAAGGGGCGCGTGTCAAAATTAAAGGGGCCCTTATCAGAGGTGAAAAGGGGAAGGGGCACTTTTCCTATGGAAAAGGGGCACTTCTTACAAAGTTAAAAGGGAACTTTCCTATATAAAAAGGGGCATTTGAAAAAAGGGGCACTGTCACCCCCCCCCCCCCAACTCTTTCTCCCTATCTCCATCTCTCTCTCTCTCTCTCTCTCACACACACACTATCTCACATCATTGTTTATTTCTCTCACCATTAAATTGTTCTTTCTCATTTGGTTCCCTTTCTCTTTTACTCTATCTCTCTCTCTCTCTCGTTCGCTCTCTGTTCTCCCACTGTTCTATTTCAAGACTTTTTCCATGTATAATTTAATGAACCCAACAATATGCACACTTAAAATCAAAAGATATGAAAGAAATATTGTATATAACATATCAACAATTACGTTCAATTTATTTATTTTTCTTATTACAGAAAATATTGTAATTCATGATGAATACGATTATAAAATTGAAGGTCAAAATCAAATATTAAGCTCCAATAGCCTCATAATCTGCTACTTGAAACTATTAGAATTAAATGTTATGTATTTGTTACATTACCTTCTCCCATTTTTTTAAAACAAATTAAGCATAGTCTACTTTTGAGCCGTGTTTCTTTTGCAGGGAATCTGTTATATCATGACTTGCACTATATTATAAAACACATTATGAAACAAGATTTCTTAAATGAATCAAAATCACAATTTTTCCAGTGAAACAATGAACATCTGATGTACATAAAAATATCCTTATGAGTGATGGTTGCTTTGTGGTTCACACACACAACAAGGACATATCAGGCTTTTTATCAATGGTTGCTTGTTTGTTACCATAGCTTCATGTTATGAGGATTATAATACAAAGGTTTTGATCCCCATGCAGTCACAGTTACAGCAGATGGAGTCTGGTTCATTGAAGAGGCTAAGTAGAACTTCATAGTCCTTGCAAGTATGTCTGTTGAATGAAAAGAGAAAAGAATGAAAGGAAGCACATTGAAACCTATTTCTGTTAAACCTTAAAAAGGTCTTGCATGTACATTGTGGTAAAAGTGGAGTGCATAATCAATTAAATGAAAGTATTGATGGACAAATGTGAATGAACAAATGCCATCCTTGAAGTACCTGGGAATACAAACAACAACTTATTCGTACAGCCTACCTGTCAGAAATTCAGCAGCTCAGTAGTTCTCCTTCCTCTCTCTGAATTTGTCTCAGTTATCAGGGAATTTGCCTTCATTTATTTTACTGAAGAAAAACATCATCCTGAAACAAAAATAAAAAGGTTTAGACCTCATTAAAATATCAAAGATCTACTCCATTGATAATTGTTCTTAGTTATAGTGTCAATCATATTCTAACTTTAAAAAAAAACTTAAGGCGCCTTTCATGTAGGCAGTGACTAGGCACCCCCTCCCCACTCAGTTACTAGTAATCATTGATTTACAGAATGACTACCGGTATCTCTTTTAAAGTCAAGAACAAACATACACATTCTTGCAGTACTATCTCATAAATATGCTTGCACCAAGTTTTACTTGCCATGTCATGGCCTAAGAAATCCCTAAGTAGTTAAAGTCTATAGCCAAGTTAGTCCCTTTCCTAAAATTAAGTCTAGAGGTCTACATCTTACTTAGATAACCAGCTGACAGTTGGCCTAACCTAGATGTAAACGCAGCCTGGAATGGAGATTTTACAAGGCCCTAATCGTAAGAGCCCAACTTTTCCGTTTTAGTTCAATCTAACATTAGACCAATGATTGTCTTTGTGATGTTATCTCCCAAAATAAGCTTCGTGAAAGGGGAAAAGTAAAATGAAAATTTAATGCACTGTACTGTACTGCAGTCTGTAGGTCTCTAAGTCTTATATGGTCCAGAATTGTTAGTGGTAGGTTTGAATTTTCTTCTGACCCAAATTTGAAAGTAGTTAATCAACTGTTGATTATTTGTGTCTTATTTTCAGATAGTTCGCCCAAAAGTCTCGGCCAAGCTGTCACTGTCAGGAGTGACTGGTAGCCATGACAATCGAGCTGAAAATATTAGCTCGTGCCCATGTCAAATGAATAAAAGTTTGAGTGTAGATTGCACCTACATTCATCAGACAAAACAATTTTAAATCACTTCATAATGTACCTGTAGACACATCTGCAGATTCATAAATTCAGCAGATCTTTTTTTTTTTAATTGTATAAACATGATTTAGTTTACACAATTTAGGCGTAATTACAGCTTTACTCACCAGCAGACTTTCCAAGAAAAATGTAGTTTATATTTTTCCTGTTCAGGAAATAACTGGCGTTGGGCCAACTGGCTTGGAGATGCCTACGTGGGTGCAATCAATAGCACCGACCATATTAACGCCAGGGAAATGGCAGTAATTATAACATTCATGTTGGGTCTGCACTCTGCAGGACTGCCTCTCTTGTTGAAGGAATTGTGATGTATTGCTCCCATCTCCTGGCAATGGCTATTGAGATGGACTTCACAAGGCGGGACACCATAGCTTGGGAGAGGCCTTCTTTTTTCATCCCCATGCATCAATTGAAAAGAACCTGAAATAGCAGAAAATCAAGATGAAAAATATGTTGATATTTGATAAGAAATTACAATTTCTCTTTCTCTGTAGTTTACAAACAATTTTTTTCTCTGTAGTTTACAAAATATAAGCCTAAACTACTAGCTACTGTAACATCAGCAACTGTTTGTCAAAAAAGGAAGCTTCTGTCCATTTCCTTTCAATTGGTATTAGACCTGTCTAGACTAGACTCTTATTGATGAAATTTAGATCTAGAATCTAGGTCTAGTGATATATATTTATTTTTTTTAAGTTTTTCTTGGGGGGGGGGTGGTGGGGGGATGGGTGGTTATAAAAATCATCATTATCCTGTAGAAAATTATCGCACCAACAGCCACAACTAGCGCTGCAGCTCAGGCAGAGGTGATACCAGACCGAAATTGTTCTCTCTTTCGTTCGTTAGCCTCTGATTTGGGTAGGGTCGGCTCCTGAAAGAGAGGAGCCGACCCTACCCAAATCAGAGGGTAACGAACAAAAGAGACAGCTAGATCTAGATTTAGGCCTAGTGCTAGTCCACTTTTAGGCAACAGCGTCTCGAAAATCCACTATAAAAGTAGTTTCTACGTCTAGCAATGATAGTTTTAGGGTGGTGTTAAGGTGGTATATGCGTACGAAAGGACAATAGTGCCAAGAAAAAGAATTACCCGGTAAGAAATTGCTCAATCTCAGGAAACGAAAATGTTAACCGACAATTATTTGCACGTATGGGACTGGTCTGCGAACACTGTGAACATTTACCAAGTTTCTTCCAAATTTATTCAGTTAAAAGCATTTTAGATTATCACCACTACAGCAACATGAAAGTAACAAAAATACTTTATTAGCTGGTGTAACTTTCATGAGCACTTATCCCATACAAAAGAGTGTAAATTGTTATCAAATATAGAAATTCAATGCAAAACTTACCGTTCACTCTCCGCGGACAGTCGATTAACTTAAAAAGTGACGTCACGCGAAGTTAGGCCGAACTATGACGTATTTAAACCTGCCCTCTGAGCGGCCTAAAGTTAGGCCGAACTATGACGTATTTAAGCCTGGCTTATCTTTAGGCCACCTTCGAGAATAGCAAAAAAGATAGTCCATGGTTTAAACCAGGTTTAGGCCACTGATTTAACTTAGGCCGCTTTCGCGAATACCACCCATTAGATTTAAGGCTCGTTACGTGCCTGGGGTTGATAATGGAATTGCTGATGCCTTGTCTCGTTTTCAGGAGGACATATTCCACAAGCTGTCACCTCTGGCCGCCGAAAAGGGGGAAGAAATGCCTACCCATCTTAGGAGCAGCTGGACATAGAGCGGTCGGGGCTTTTACTGTATTCACGGGCCAGCAGTACTCATTCCACTTACGCAACAGCGATGAGTGTTTATACCGAATTTTGTTCAGAGTATCAGTATGATAATCGAATGCCGCCGAATGTTGAGCGTATTGCTCAGTTTATATCATATTTGTCTTGGCGCGGATATTCGCTGTCTACAGTTCAGACTTACATTTCGGGGCTATCATTTCATTTGCAGGTGGCGAGTCTAGATGACGTCACAAAGGGTTTCGTTGTTTCATGCCTACTCGAAGGGTGCATAAGGGGGGAACGTGATGAGACGGGATACTAAATGTCCTATTACACTATCTTTGTTGCGTCAGATGTTGAGGGCTTTGAGTAATGTGTGTAAGAGCGACTATGAGGTGCACATGTACTCCGCGGCCTTTCTGATAACATTTTATGGTTTTTTGCGGGTTTTTTGCGTATCAGTCCACGCAAATCTAAAAGTCCCTATTGTCAGGAGAGAAGCCCTTAACCGCAAGGTGGTTTTGCGCCTTCGCTCTTCTAAAACTGATCAGAGCGGGAGGGGTTGCTTGATAAATATTCCTGAGGTTCAGTCAGAATTCTGCCCAGTCAGAGCGGTGGTTGCTTACATGTCATGCCGCCCCTCTGTTGGGGATGCATTCTTTCAGACATTTGGTGCCCTTCCCCTTACTCACTACAAGTTCACTAAAATGATCAAGACGTGCATGAAATTGTGTTCCTTGCACACTGAATGCTTTTCTTCCCATTCGTTTCGTATCGGGGCGGCAACGTTTGCCGCTATGTTGGGTGCACCGACAGGCAAATCCAGTATATGGGGCGTTGGGCTTCTAATGCGTACAGGCGTTACGTCCGCATTGACATGCTCGTGGGTTCTAACCTGATTTAATCAGACTCGGTTGTTTTCATTACCTAATCAAATTCAGTCATTTGTGCCGTCATTACATTGTATCGACTATTAGTAACACTAACAGCAGAGAATTTTTATTTTAGCAATATGTTAATTGAAGCTGCCCCAATTCATTGATTTCAATTGCAATATTCCAGAGCCTTGTACATACATACATACTGATACATACATGCATACATATTGATATTTACATTGTAAAATAAAAAATACAGGCATTTATTCACAGTCGTTTGTGATTATGGTACGGCTGATCACGTTAACCTAAAGGCAGCCTTATCATTTCATAATGAAGTACACGCAGATTCATAATTTTCCTTCGTATGCCTGGTTACTTGTAGCCAGAAGACTGTGCTCGTAAACATCAATATTAGGTGTCTGGCAAATTACACTTCTTTTACACGAATTCCACATAATAATAATAATAATGAGCTTTATTTACCTTTAAGTGATTGTGATTACATGTACTCAGTGCAAGATACTCCCAAAGATACATTATTTTATTTTGCAGACCCTGCCGCATGGATCATTGGTGACTCTATCGTGTACTGGGCAGCCCGGCGGGTACAGCAGGAGGGCAGTGGAGATCTTGGCTGTGGGGCGCCGGTGGCCTGGCATGGCAGAAGGGACCTTGATCTAGGCCAGTCCAAGGAATACTTATCTTCCCTTTTCACCGGTGAGGGGTCAATACAATCCCACATAATTCAGCACGTTGGAACAAACGATCTAGAGTCAGAGAGCAAGAGCGCCTTCTCAAGCGAGCTAAAACGGTTCTTTGAATACGTGAGCGGCCAGGGGTCCATCATCATTTGGTCGGACATTCTACCTCGATTCCGCTATAGGGAGTTTAGCGATGAACAGCAGGGCCTCGTCGACTGCAAGAGGCGATCATTGAATAGGTACGGCAGGTCCCTCGCTAGGAGGTTCAACGGCATCGTTATAGAGCACCCCGAGTTAATCCATACCTCGCAACACCTTTTTTCGTCCCGATGGGATACATCTGTCGGAGGCCGAAACATCCCTTTTTATCCGAGATATGGCTAAGGTGCTTTGGAATACGTTTAAGTAGGGTGCGAACCCAATCCCATGTTGCCCTTCCTATGTACGTCTATTTTATGTTAATGGTGTCTTACCTTCAAATGTTAGATATCGAGGGCTCGTTTGCGTCATAGTTTAATGTATTTCATTGTTTTGGTAACCATGGTTACCATGGTGGATGGTAATTTGGACAAAAGTACCATGGTTGCTATGGTACATTTTTGTAAGGGTATATATATGCAGATCATCATCAGTAATCTCAGTTATGGGGGTTATTGGTGGCGGTCTTAAAGTAAGGTTTATAGCGTTATGGAGTAATGATAGCATAGGGATAAATAAATCTATCGCGTTTCGATAGCGTTATGTAAACATGTTCCAGTTTATTGCGCCTTTGTAGGCGTTTGTTGACTGCGGTACCCGGATATATGGTTTCCGTAGTGTACATATATAGTTTTGTGCTTGGTAATTAGTTGGCTTCAAACATTGGTAAAAAATTTCACCCACAGCTAAATATACAATGAAACCGTGTTCTTTGGTGGCGAGCAGGGGCGGCGATCCCAAGAGGGACGGGGGACACGTCCCCTCCCCCTCATTTGTTTAGGGGGGGGGGGATTGTCCCCCCCCCCTCCCGGAAAATTTGAAAAATTACTTACAAAATTGTATAGCATATACTGAATTATGACTGGAACACACTTTTAGGCTCCGGAGGGCCAAAGAGTACAGCGTTTAGACTAATAAAATTGCAAAAAATGCTCGCTCCCTCGCATAACATCCGTGTAAAAAAAAAAAAATTGCATATCGTCCCCCCCCCCCCCCCCCCGGTCATGAACAGAAATCGAGCAAATTAATTTGCTCGTTGGCGGAATTTATCATTTTGGGCCTTCATCACACTTACATATATTAGCAAGAAATTATATTACAATTCGTAAGACAAGTAATTTCAGGAGCCTCGCTCGATTTAAAATGCGGGGAGGTATACCTGGAGGAGAATATTTTTGTTTACCTGCTGGACTGGCCAGTTTCGCCGTAATACTCGTAAAAAGGCGCTGGTGGTAAAGCCTACTAGAGGCATGCACTACCGCAGTTAATCTTGGTTGCTTTCTAGCCTTTCTAGCCTTTCTAGCTGAACGTTCGTTCATTCGTGTCTCTTTAGATCAAGATTAATGTCAAGTTCCTAAATTAGATTAAAATAAATTAAATTTTTGAATTCCCTCGCCCGTTGGCTGCGACGGCCGTCTCATTTACTAGGGCCAGTTTTGCACGATGTACATACTGTGTATCATCATGCACCTCGCATGTAGGCTGCTAGACTTATATTAGACTTATATATAGCCTGGGCTGGGCGACTCGCTGCTAGCTAGCGCTGGCCATGAATTGGCCGGCAGGGCATTCAGTGACCTGTTTTCATGTCGACTTGGGAGGTAAAAAAAACCCTCATAAAGACCGCGTTTTTCTGTGTTTTATTGGGTTACATCGCTACTATCCCAGTGGTAAGTCCTTAGTCACCATTTTGTATAACCTAGATATAAAATAAGAATATAAAAAAATGTTAAAATAGAGATTATCCACCTCATGTGATTTCGTGGACAATCCCATCCCGGCCCGGCCCATGCAGTGCGGTGCCAGTGCAGTTTGGGCAAGTTGGGTAACAAGAAATAAGAAAATAAGGCAAGTGGGTAATGATCTGGGCCTTGTGCTAACAATAAGTTTAACGCTAGTTGCAAAATGACAATGGACCAGTCTAGATCATTGTGGCATGCACAAATTGTTCAATTTGCTGACCATAAACCAATCAGAATATATGCAATCGAACGCAAAACTTAGTGTGAGTGTTACAGGGCCCAGATATTTTCTTGTTACTCAGTAACGTTGGAGTAGTACATTTAAATGTTGCATTGTGTGTACTTGTATTTGTGGGTTACTGGGGTGGTAGCATAGCTTATGGACTATTGACGTATACACATCAACATTGTATGGCCATAGGCCTACACTTTGATGTTTATTTGTAATGCGTATCGACTTTCAGACTGCAAATTTAACTTTTCAATGGCAGAACTAACCGAGTCAGAATAATAAGTAGGGGAAAACGGCTTGTTTCTTGGTGTAGTTTGTAGATAAAGGATGATTCAATGTTACATTCTTCCTAGTCCTACCTCTAGACTGCACTTCTTTTTTAAATAATGGGGCATTTGCATTAAAAACTGTTTGGCACCTTGGTTATCAGCAAACAACAACTCTGGATTCATGATGCTCTGGAAAGCTCCCAAAGAGCTTTGATTAAAATTTTAAAACTTAAAAAAACTTAAGATCTCTGCATTTACATATTGATAAAACACTTTTTGCGACTCTACAAGAGCTCCCATAAGCAAAATGGTAATGTTTACTTTATTCCTTGCCTTTTGTAGTACACTTCTGTAGGAAATCACCACATAGCTTTTCTTTGTGCATAAAGACCTATAGCTAACCCAGATATATGAATATAGGCATACAAAAAATGTATTAGATTTACTATGCATAGTATGCGGCCAATGCCTGCTCCTGAAAAAAGAATATGATCAAGGGAGTATGTACAGATCCAATTGAAGGGAATATATTTGACTAGGTTAGACATGTATAGTATGAATCATCCAAGTATTGTAAGAGTCTGCCACTTTCACCCCCACCCTGTTTTAAATTGGGTGTTTTTGCTGATGATTCAGGCACAGTTATTTGTTAATATATGCGGTTGACAGAGGCCATAATATACACAGCATTTTAAAGAGATAAATGTGTGTACATGCACATGTAGTTCCATGAATAGGACCCCACATACATATTGCGTACATGTAGCTTGTCAGGTTATTTTCGTTTGTTTCAATATTGTGACAGTAAAGCAATATGCACAAGCGGGTACGTGCATGTGACATGGACATAAAAGCTATGTGTACATTCACTTGTATTCACCTGCCTTCTCAGGCTTCTTAGTAAGATAATGCCTTGTAATGCCCACCCATGGCTCATCAAAAATAGCACTGCAATGGTCTCATTGATATACACCTAGGTCTATTTCTATATATTATATATATTATATATATTGGCAGAATTTTTGTCCAACAGGTGCATAGTGATGATTATGATAATTTTTCAAAAGTATCAAGCTATATTTTGCCTTCTGCTGATTTTTTAATTATTACTTTAACAATTAGTTACAACCAACCTTACTGCAATCTATTAAAATATGAATATAATCTTGCAAAGTCTTAAGGTCTTAATTAGAGAACATAGGAAAACGAGAGATTGCATCACTCAAATATGGACATTGCTTAATAAGGATCCACAGGTAGCCATGAGAAATGTAGAAATAATAACCATCACGGATAATAAGTGTCCTGATTAATTTTGTATTCGTCCACTATAAGTTATCATTTCATGATTCCTGGAATTTTTATTTAAATTAAATGAAAAATATCTTTTATCTTTTGTTTCTTTTATTTGACAGAGCTACTAGCAATGTTATAACCTCCAACACTGTCAGGCACATGAACCAGAGTTCTGAACTTCTGAGTAGACCCAACGAAATGCCGGTTTCCCTTCGAGACAAACATGGGCCAGGTGGTTTTCCTCGCTGTGGTGGATAACGCAACAATGTTAACATTACCTAGTGTCCAGAACTCCAGACGGCCTTTGCTGTCTCCTTACCTGCTCAATCTTGCTGTTATTGAACCTCAAATTTCCAGCCTGTCGTATCACATCAAGTGTGTCAGCATAGTCATGTTTGAGGAATCTTCCTTTGAACAAAAAATGGCATTTCCACTTGCATGTAAGTTCAACTGTGAAGAGAGATGAAGCATATTTATGCTGTTGAATCCGAAATTCTATTTCCTTGTTGCATCGATCATAGAAAAGCAGTGCATATCATCCTCTGGAATGACTAAACAGTGCATCAAACTTGTTCAGAAAAAAGACACGCAAAACTACTTATGGCCTGAGTTACACCAGCGATGTTGAAACCTTTAGGTTATGTCACCCTCAATCCTGAAACAAACAGGCAAGATGGTAGGCCACAAGTTCGAAAGATCATTGCCCAACTCGAAGCTTCTTCAACTTCTTCAAAAGCCCTGGATAAATATCCAGTGGTATCAATATCTTGATACAGACCCTCTCATTGAACTTTCTCAGACTATGTAACATCTTCATACGCAAACTACAAAAAGGTAAACAGTATATGATAGGACCAGGTGGGGTAACCTCCCCCCCCCCCCCCCCCTCTCCTCTCTCTCTCTCCCTCTCTCTACTGTTTCACTCTCCACTTTAATTGCCTTTCTCCCCCCCCCCTCTCATACCTCAACTGATACTTGTTCTATCTGGTTAAGATTTACAACCACATGTTTTTATCTCTTTGAATTGGTTCTTCAATCTAGACTTGTGAATTACTTGTACGGTCAGAAAAGGTATTGTTAAACTGTATACTCTCTCCATTCAATCTATCTCTCTCTCTCTCTCTCTCCTTCTCTCTATTTCTTCAGATCTCTGTTCTCATTTTAACCTTTGATAAAATGAATATCTGTAATTAAGCCTTATTAATGGTTTTTGACAGATTAAGCCATTTCCCCATGTAATTGCTATTTCTAATTAAATTGTGTGTTATTGTTCTTTCCATCTATCTCTCATTGGTCTTTCACCCTTGGTATCTCCATCTCTCTCCACCCCATCCCTGTCTCTCACACACATACATCCTCTTGTCATTATTGTATCCTCTTTCTGTTTCATCTGTTTTATTTCAATTAAATAAAAACTTGGTTCAAAGGCCTTACATTGTTTGATAACGAAAATTAAACCATATTTAATGGGCATTATGTTGATGATAGTTTGTATTTATGCTTATCATTTTTACCAGTTTTCTTGTGCAGCAAGCATTGTAGTTTGGTTATTCGCACCGTCTTCTATAGAACGTGTAAAACTATTGTTCATATTCAATTGTACTTGTAATGATTTTTATTCTTGTTTACATACTGTAGATGCACAGTCAAACAAGCCCATAGTGCATTACAGTGGCAAATTAATTTATGCCACCATGTAACTCTATGCATGAATTAACAGCTGTGGACTTCCAAATTATGATCTTATCTCATGATTTGATTTTCAAGAAAATTGATCAGTTGTGCCATTATATTGGTCCAGTCATTGAAAGGACACTTGTGTCTCATCTCCTTCTGCTTCTTGCTTTTTTCTTCAAGATTTTTTCCCCATTTGATGGGAGGAGAACACAGACCTCCTCCATGAAGAAAGTGCATGCCATTTAAATTGTGCAATTGATATAGAAAAATATAATTATATTCAGGTTGTGCAATGACGTACATGTTATGTTGCTCCTTGTCTTGGACTTGTAAAAGTGGATTTGGATGTAGGGCTAAACAATATTTTTAATTTTCGGCTTTTTCATCTGGTAACTGATGAATTTGGGGAGATCGCTTAGGTGTGTATCTGTCAAGAACCTTATTTTCTTTCTTAATATTTCATAATGTATATTGCATGATGTAATAACTTTGTTATTAACCTGATGTTAATTTTGATGTATTGACTATTTTGTAATACACTGTACATCGATTTGGGGGATAACGGACTTTACCTTTTATGTTTTAAAGTAGTGGTGTTTGCATGTTATAACCCTCTGATTTCATCGAATTTCATTGAAAGAGAGGTATCCTTGAAGCAGTTTATAAGTTACAGCTGCTTCATAATACTTGCTGCATAATGTAATAATCCATTAGTTTATGCATCATTGAATCACCCAAGATTTCAATATGGTGGAGGGATGAAAAGTCTCTTGTAGTTTTTTTTTTTACATTAAGTAGCATTTTTAAAACTGAGTACTGATAAGATAGCTCCTAATGGTTGGCTATAGTTTGCACAGTAAAAGTGGTGTCTGCATTTAGGTGCTGTGTTTTGATATAATTTGAGTTTGCGCCGGAGAAGTAAATAATGTAAAAAGCTATAATAAAGTTGTTTTAAAGAAGCAATTTCTTCTATATTTTAATTAATATACTCATACTACAGGTAGTCCTATCCCCCAGCTTTCTCAGTGACCAGGGTAATGTATGTAAACCACTTAGAGACATCAGAAATGTTAAGTATTCAATTGAAGTCTACCCTGATGTTAAGTTTGTTTCTATAATAGAGGTAGAAAAATGAGAGGATCAGGTCAGTGAAATTCTGATTTAAAAATAAGAAAGTTTATGAATTTTGGAAATTGTCATCAAACGCATAGTGGCATCTCTGTGACATTTCTTGTGAGCTCTCCTACCCTTCGCTCTGTACATAACATGTCATAAATTTTAATTTTCTTCATTATTGATGATGGAATAGACTTGTCCATACAGGGGTTGAATATAGAAACAGATTCGCAATAATGTAGTGGTTTAGTGGTGGTTATTTTACCTGACTGCTAAGAAAGCATAGATGCTTGTTAGTAAGTAACCAGAGGACCGACATTTTAAATCCTCTCCGAAGGACCTGGTAATGAGAATTAATGCATTACCCAAGGACACTAACGCATCGACTTGGTTTCGAACCAAGGTTGCCGGATCACGAGACCACTGCTATTCCAACTGAGCTATCGCGCCCTTGGGTGCATGAAAAACTTCTTTAGAGAAAATAGACATGTCTTGATTTTTTTTTGTAGTACATAACAAATGGGAGGAGAGACGATTCGCCAAAGAATTGCCAATTTTTGTTTGATTGATTACTTTCTTTTATTTTAAATCAGGACCTGATCCTCTCATTTTTCTGCTTCTATTAAAACCCAATTAATATCAGTCAGGGTGGATTTCTCCTGTAAGTGCTATATAAAACCAGAATATTATTATCATCATCTGTTGTTTTGTTTTTGTTTTTGCTCAAAGTTATAAATGCACTGTTATTGTTTTAGTTTCCAAAGATGCCAGATATAATAATTGTTCAAATTCAGAATATACCTTTTTAATAAAACTTTTTAATCAATGCAATTATTTTTTGAAAACTCTGTGAGATATACTGTATTGATTTTATGCGAAAGACGTCATGTTCTAAGTGTTATTGTTCCCGGCTGTGTGACAGAGAGTGTAGAGTGAATGGTCCTGGTGAAATTTGAAATGTTGCTGGTATTTGGACGAAGTGGTGGAGAGTCTAAGAGAGCAGAATGTCTGCTCAGAGCCAGAGAAGGTGTGAAACTCAAATCAGTTGATTCAGTGTTAATGTCCTTTTGGCTCTGAACAGACAATGTAAATTACAGAAACACATTTAATGTTTTACAACAGTTCCGTTAAAAACTATTCACGACAAGTTATAAAGCTCAGGCCTCTATTCCGAACAAAAGTTTTGTGATTGGTTTGGTCAATTCCTAGTAACCCTCTCCCCTCCATTGCATCAAATACACTGCCAAGTTAAAATACTAAATAGCAAATTTGTTTTGCCTTTGCATTATGACCCATTTCTATCTATACTTTTTGTAATCTTCCCTCGTTTTATATATCCCTAAGCAATTTGTAGGAAATTTGTGTATAAACTCATAACTTTCATTTGGTATTTCTGTCTCGTATTAAAAAAGGTTACAAAACACATTATCCAGAGACCATGGTCGAAAGAATATACTTATCGGAAATTATTGTTAAAGGTATAGACCGGTAGTGGTAAAATTGCGATTCAAGGGTTTTGGGTGCAAACTATCCATTCAAATATTGTTTAAATATTTCCTTCAGGTTTAGATGGCAAAACTTAAACCTAAATTCGCAAAAAACAGAAATGTATGCCAAAATATTCAGTGATGGAGTGCATATCTATATCATTCGCGATATCTATCCAGGCCGGATCGATATGATAATTTACCAAATATATCAATTAGTAGGCGGGAAAATTTGTATCATCACGTATTAGTCAAAACATATTCTTTCACATGATTGGTAATAAAAGCTTCCATTTCATTTTGTGAGGGGGGGGGGCGTTTCCAAAACTGGTCTATACTTAACAAGTGAGCTTGCTCTGTCGAACACCTCATGAATCCACATTTCTAGTTAATGGTGATGGATATTCGAGTGAAGTTACTTTAGCAGTATTAGTATCAAAACATAATCAAAGAAATCCAACACAGCGAAGCTCAGCAAAAGACGATTTTATAAAGAAAGTGTGACCATGAAGTTGAAAGTAGCAACTACCGATCTCATATCAGTAGGGCAAACAGAGAGGGCGCTTTTCAAATTCAATTGGGTTAATTAATTTTTAAAATATGTCATTAATGGTTATATGTTTCAAGATTGATTCTAAAAATACTTCATGATATTAACTATCATTCTTCGAAGCTTGAATCATTAATTCAAAGGGAGGGGAAAAATAGAAATGAACATTTCAAACAAGACGATATTATCTTTTGGAATTGTAACCCTTTGTACGTACTCATTTTTTGAGCTCGGAAGAAACGTAGTCCGCGACACATGTTGTACAAATCGTTTGACTCACGAATGTTGATAACGCCAGGAAGTGTATATTATGCCATTTAGTTTAAAGGTAAAATTCGCATAGCGCTTACATTTGTAAAAGCCTTTCTGCCCCTCTGATTATTATGTAAATCCATATTCCAATTTAACCAAATATTTTGAGAATAAAACCCAAATGCTTATGGTTATTAAGCGTCGTTAATTCGTTTCTTGCATCTCTGGTTTAAGCTAGACATAGAACACTTTGATGAAAATAGTTTTATTTGTGTGTTGAGGATCAAGTATGCCATCTGAAAAGAAGATTAGACACCAGTACAACCACGGTGGGGGGGGGGGGGGGGGAGGCAATAACTAAAGCGTTTAAGCAAATTATTCAAATGGTAGATTCTTCACATTAAAGGTAGTGATAATTATGAATACAACAATGACTTTGTTAAGTAAATGAATGGGAAGGATTCCAATTTCTTTAAGCCAGTTATTAGAACACTTTTTATATATCTCCTCATATTAAATCTTATCTCCATATATTTTATCCTGTTGAGTTATATTTTCTTAATAATTTGCATATACGTATTATATTCTTCAAATATGTATATTAAAATTCTTATTTTGCGCAGTCACTAAATGGCATTCTCTTCTGATTATAAAAATGGGAAGGGTGGAGGGACTATATAGTTCTACGATTCTGAAGGTTCAAACACAGCAGCTAATGTTGTCAAGTGAGTCGACTCGACATTAAAATGGCTCGTACGTGTATGCATTCACTAGCATTTTCTACTTATATTACTATCAATACTTATACTACTACTAATACGACTACAACTACTACTACTGTTGTACTACTACTACTTCTTTGACTATACTACTATACCACTATTACGCTACCACTAATATCGCATTGCTACTACTACTACTACTACTTCTACTACCACTCAGGGGCGGCGAAGCATCTTTCAAAGTGTGGGGGGGGGTTGGTGTACCAATAAAAAGGTTATTTTCTGGAGAAAAAAGGTGCACCTACAAAGGGAAACCTTACAGCGACCTTTGCTTCTAAAAAAATCAGCTGAGATATTTCAATTAACTAACGATGGTCCAATCGAAGTAACGTTGAATGCTTGGAGAAAAAAAAAAATTTGTAACCAACATGAACCTATCAAAACAACTAGGGTTTGCATGACGCGACGATTTTAAGTCTACCTATATTCTGACATTTGTGTGCAGATAATGAACATTTTAACTGTGAACTTACGCTATAAGTTAAAAACTTCAAATTGGTTAATAGTAAAGTGATTTCAATTAAGCCATTGAATCCCAAGTCACTTAGAAGCGCGTCGGTAGCTTGGTCGGCCATGATGTGAAATAAAGCTTTAAGCCAAAGCGCACTTTACTGGCACGTGACACATCACGTCATATGTAAACAACACTGTCTAAAAGCTCTCGTATAGTAAACATAGCAGTCATTAAATTTTTAACAGCGAATGTTTAACAAAATTACTTTCGTTTCGAGCAAAATTGTTTACAATTTGTTCAACTGTTATGTAAGTGAACATCACTTTTTTTAAGCAGCGTTTTTACTATGTAGTAATCAACTACATCAATGGATATGATGAAATTACAGATAAATTGTTACAGGTTTGACATTTTCCCTATGTTTTTCCCTCGTGTGCCGTTATAAGGTCGATGGTTAGGTTAGGGGGGGGGGGGGGGTTGGAGGCAGCCTCAAAGTCTTAGTTCGGAGATCCGTTCTTGCCTCCACTTAAAAACAGTTACAAAGATAGGGTACAACAGGTTGTCATTTCGCAAGTGAATATGTTAAAAGAGTGACCACCTGTCATCTGTACAAGGTAGACAATTTTGAAATAAAAAGACACAGAAATAAAGGGGAGTTCACTGCAACGTAGTTTAGTAAAAATGAGAGTGAGTGTGCGTGTATTTGTGTTTGTGTGTGTGTGCGTGTCTGTGTGTGTGTGTGCGGGGGGTGGTCCGATTTAAGAACATCATTGACCTATAGGTCACAAAGGTTCATAAAATAATTGTCAAAATGGGTCAAAACGATTCAGATTAAAAAGAAAGCAAAAGAAGGAATAAAGGGAATATTACACGAAATCGTAAGCATTCACGCACATAAAAGGTTCCGTGGCATAAAACTTACAATTTGTGGTAAACGTTTCTATCGATATTTAGTACCATCATATGGCAACATTACCCGAGAGTCAATCAAATCAACGATTCTATGGAAGCTACCGTTAATGGCAAAGTTACCGTTAATGGTAAGTGTAATGCAACAAGACCAAGGTACGTACCAGAGAATTTCACACGGAATACTTGTGGTTCGTCGCAATGGGGATAGAATTTGAACATAAAACCGACATGGTCATCGCCGGTCGCTTTCACGAAGAAATTGCGAATGTGTAGATCCAAAAAACGAAGATCATCTACCGATACGGTTTTCATCTGTGAAAAGGAAACACACACAAAAAAAAATAAGGAAACCAAACATATGCAGCAAACACTTTTAAGAATTAACCAAAAAATTATTTGAATAGCCTATTGCATTGCATGTAGAAATGCGTTCGTATTATGTTCGATGTAATTTCCCAAATTAATAGAGTTTATGACATAACGTTACCTTGATTGTATGTAGTAGCGTTGAACCATGTCGCGTTCTCTTCTCAAAGAAATGACCTCCCTCGACCTCGCATCTGATCTTCATTTCGCCTTTACTCCAGTACACGATCATTTTCTGTGTTGGGGCCATCATCCGATAATCAAGCTCCTCCTCCTCCATTTCGATGTCCTAATTATAGGAAGAAATTAACATTAGATAAAAGAGAAATTGGAAGAAAAGAATAAAGCCTTGTAACTGTTTGCATTTCCACCATCAATTACATCAATTTATCCAGAATTTAAAAGAAATAGTCGCTTTATTTTGAAAAATTATACATCTAAATTGTTGATACCCCTTTTAAATTCGATACTTTTGTATTTATCACCAATTTATCACCGATGTTTGAATGTCTGGAACAGAAAATTATGATTAACACTATCAAAAGCCTTCGTATTTAGATCGTAATTCAAGAATGAAAGATGGAATGGTTGAATAAGGGCCTTTAATGAATACGTTTGGATGTAAGACTGTAAGCTTTGATATGTCACAGTCTCAAGAAATATAAATCGGAATAGATACTTTTTTCACATATCAGTTTGAGAAGAAAAAAATCTTGTTAGCGGTATGAATAATTTAGTAGATAAAGATAAAGATCAGTTCGGGCCATGCGATTACATTGTGAAAGAAACGTTGTGGAATCGATCAGAAAAGGTTGATCATCTAGCATATAAGTATTAATGTGTATGGTAAGCT